TCATTTGGAGGTGATATATTTAAATATAGAACCACTTGGAAACAAGTCAGAAACACTGGTGTGGTGTTTAGGGGAATGGCTTAATGGTAAATTGTAATTTATGCAGTATAAGCAAGAACCTGGGTCCATCTCCAGCATTCCCCTGCTATACACACAAAGGACTGATGCATACAGAACTGCCGCATATGTCTCCTCGCCTTGGGCTCCAGGGGGTCATGAGCTGTGGGCATAGATTGCCATACAGAATGCAGAGGGAAGCGGAAGCTGCCCAGTTCCAGCTATGGTTGCATGGATCCTAGATGCAAGGGTGTTGCAGTGAAGCCTAGAGACTCCTATTCAGATGTTTTAGTCTCTGGCTTACATAGGTCCAGAGCTACACTGATGTGTAAAGCTGTGCCTTTGAGTTAGCAGGCATGGCTTCTGCTGAGCATATAGTCGCAGAGCTCAGTTCTGCTGTGCCAAGGCCAGTATGCAGCTAGTGGATAACTTCCATGACTGTGGGTGGTCTGGGACATTGGGACATGTTGAATGGTGAAAGGGTAGGCTGGCAACAGTTCTGGGCCTTGATTGATGATGTTAGCAATGTGATGTGTAGAGGCCCTTGCTGCTTTCTGCTGTGGGCTGGTTGTGATGGGTCCACTCTCCCTGCCTGCCTGGACTCCTTAATGCACTCACATCTGAACCTGCAGACCAAGCCCGTGGACCCAACTGTGGATGGGGGCGCACAGGTGCAACAGGTGGTCAACATTGAGTGTGTGTCTGATTTCACAGAGGCACCTGTTCTCAACATCCAGTTCAGGTGAGGACTGTGTGCCTCCTATGTCCTTTCCCAACCCGTGTGCTTCTCCTCCAGGGAATTAATTGGTTATTGCTGTGCCACTGTGCATGCATGCAGAGTGCTGCCAGGCCTGGAGCTTCCAGAGTATAGGAGTAAGTGGAGAGGGAGCTGGCTCCTGTGACCATGACATATGATACCCATGGGGTTTGAGTCTCCTGTGTGGTCTGTAGGCAAGGCTATTTCTGACCCAGATGATTTTGTGGTGAGAAGTGGAGGAGCCAGGCTCTCTGTGCTGCCTTCTTAGGCTGGCTCAAAGGACTTCTTGAGGGATAAGGATGGCAGTAGCTGGTTTAGAACTAGACTTCTGGGCCATAGTATGTAGCCTTCTTTTTAGTCATGACAGTGGTTCCTTGTTTGGGAGCTATAGGCTAATTGATTTGGTAGTCTACTTGGGCCTGTCCTGGGTCTTCCTTTGCCAAAAGAGTAGGACTGAAAGGAATTGGTCCTCTAACACTTGGTACAAAACAGGGGTTTGGTCCCTCGCTCACCTGTGAATGGTATAGCCATGGATTGTAACTGGAGGATGTGGGTTAGCCCTTCCAGGAATGCAGTCTTTGTGGCTGTTATTGGGATGGCTGGCCACATAGTCTTTCTCTAAGCCCTGAAGACTCATCAGCTAGAACATTTTGACCAAGCGTTTGTTCTCCATAACATGACTCTATTGTTATAGGTATGGTGGTACCTTCCAGAATGTGTCTGTTAAGCTGCCCATCACACTCAACAAATTTTTCCAGCCCACAGAAATGGCTTCTCAGGATTTCTTTCAACGCTGGAAGCAGTTGAGCAAGTGAGAAGGCTGTACTATGTATGGGTGGAGGGGAGAATGGGGGGCTGTCCCTGGACAGGATGCTCCATGGGTCTTAGCATGGCTTTTAGTACTAACTTTCTGTTTTTCATAGTCCACAGCAAGAAGTGCAGAATATCTTCAAAGCAAAGCATCCAATGGACACAGAGATTACTAAAGCAAAGGTAAAGGGTTGTATGATGATGTAGCTGAGGCAGGGGTTGTGACCAGTGTGTTCTGACCTGCCTCTTCATTCTGTACAGATTATTGGATTTGGTTCTGCACTCCTTGAAGAAGTTGATCCGAACCCTGCAAATTTTGTGGGTGCTGGCATAATACATACCAAAACCACCCAGATTGGCTGCTTGCTGCGCCTGGAACCAAATCTGCAAGCTCAGGTGAGGTCTCTATAACAGGAGGATGGATATGATTGTGTTGCCTTTTGATTTCCCTTTCCTCACAGAAGGCCTGGCATGCCACCACATTGCCTATGTAGCAGCCTAGCCCTCAGCTGTGTCTGTGCAGCTCTTCTAGTGAGGTCTTGTTCTACCTCCCTCTGTGAATGTGGTATACATTGCAGCTTGTTTCAGCAGTGTTCCTCTAGAGACTCCAGTCTGTGTATTCTATTGTTTATAGATACTTGTTTTTACAACATTTAGGTGATTTTATGAGTGATCGGCTCAAAGTGTGGTGCATAGTTAACTGGATGAGAGGCTCTCAAGCTGATTGTGTAATCTCAGTACTCAGGAAGAGAAGGCAGGAGGAGTACCAGTTCAAGACCAGCCTGGGCTACACAGTTAAGACTGTGTCTCAAATACAAAACAAAAGAAAGAGCTTTCCAAAGTGGCTGCTGACTCTCACCTCTACTAACAGCCCACTCCACCTCCACACACACTTGCTTTCATTACTTTTTGATTTCTGCTAGTGAAACAGTGACGCTTAGGGAGGGCCTGCTGTGAATGATGAGGCCTAGGCCACAAAAGTACCTGCTAAGAGCCTGGAGCTCAGTGCTTGCTCACCCTGCTACTGTCTCTATTTCAGATGTACCGACTCACGCTGCGTACCAGCAAAGACACCGTCTCTCAGAGACTATGTGAATTGCTGTCGGAACAGTTCTGATCCACAGACCAGAAGATCAGGCTCCTTGTTTGTGCGTCTTCTTGTCTCTACTGTTTGTCTTTGTACCACACTGCAGATAAACACCCCTTGTCTGAAAACTGCCACTCAAGGCACCTTCAGTCCTACACCTACAGCCAGCCCCTTGGGTGTGGAGATAATGCAGGACACAGTTTGAGAAGGGCTGCAGCAGGCCTGCCCCATCAAAGAAGGGTGCCTGGGCCTGGAAAATCAAGGCAGCCCTGTGGTTCAACCTACAAATTAAAGGGAAATTAGAAGTTTGAACGAAAGTGGAAATTTTGTTCAAATTTTATTAAAATGCCACTGACTCATTCTCAGAATCCAGACACAGCTCCATGTGCTTAAAGGGTTAACACAGGGCTGTGTGGCCATGCTGGGTGGTGACGGCAGTGGCTTAGAGGTGTGTGACCTCACGGGCTGAGCAGACTCTGTGGGGTTTGCTATAGCACTATCTGATGGTGCCGAAGTGCTTGTGTTTTATGACTGTTGGCAAACTCCATGAACCACTCATGGTAGGATCCTGTGCCTAGCATACCAGTGTTCTTGAAGAGACAGTTTAAACATTTGACCACTTACTTGAGACCTTAGGTTTGCAGCATGGTGAGTACAGAGGTTCTTATTGACTTTGGACAACATGGACATCACCCATCTTTTGTTTTTAATGAATGTACTGTTCCTGTGATCATTCCGGAGACTTGAAGGTTAATGAGTCTGGTGGTGAAGTAATAATTCATAAGGTGTGCTTCTCTTCAGAGGGTCTTAGTTGGTGCCTCGGTATTGCATTCCCACTTCTGTGAAGCCCTTGTGGCTGGGTGGAAAAGGGAGGCCTAAGTGTGGTAATGGAGTGAGAGGCTGGGTTGAGAATGGCAGCCCAGGCAGGTGCTGTGCTAAAGGATGCACTGGACTTCCTAGCTTGCGCACTGGCAGGTCAATTGTTAGTTAACCTCTTAGGGGCATTGGACTGTATGTGCAACCCATCAGGGGAAGTGCATAGACCATGTCAGAAGCCTTGGGAGTCCAGGCTGGGACCCTGCACTCTGCCTTGAGATGATGCCCAGGATTGCTGTAGACCCAGCTGGACAGGCTTATCTGTACTTAACACAAGCAGTGTTGATGCCCCTTGCTCACTAGAGCACTGGTGTGGTCACATATGCATGTTTTTGTTTTTGTTTTTTTGTTTCTTGTTTTTGCCTCAGCCTCAGGCTACCAGTCTGCCATGGTGGATTTGAGAACAGTAGCTGGGTTCCTATCCCACTCAAGCTCCTGCAGCCCCACTCGGTACAGCCCAGGCAGTTAGTTTCAGAACAACCAACACCTGCTGTGCTGACCCTTGTGTTCCATGAAGCCCTTGGTCTGGCTGTCATGTGTTGTGATCCACACTTGCTATGGCACAGGCTTGTGTTGTAGGAGGGTGATCTAGCTGTGGCCACAGTGAGCCTCTGGAGTTATCTTGCTCTAGTAGCTAAAGTGTGCCTCTCCATTTTGTACAATCCAATCCATGCACTACTGCAAAGACCATGTGGATAGCTCAAACTGTGTGGCTAGCCTGTGTACCGTGTGCTACCAGTGATGGTGTCTAGGTCAGCAGTGCCCAGCACATGGAAACTGCTGGGGTACAAGCCCATCCCCTGTGACTCCTGGGCCTCCATCAGTACAGTGTGCTTGTTCTCAGAGAAAAAAAAAATAAATGCTAGGACAGGAAACTGGAGCAAGTGTGTGTGATCTTTGTGGGGAGTGTCCTGTACTGCCCTGACTCCATGCCCTGTAGAATCGAGTACAACTCAAGAGCAAGGGACCCTGGAGTGTCACCTGCCTCTCAATTAAGGGGTACCTCAGGAAGTGATTGTCCTGACTGCCTGTTTGGGGCTCGGTGTGTGGAGCCTAACCTGGGTCCACATAAATCTGTGGTGGCTACAGTTCCACTGAAGTTTGTACCTGGAAGATTTGGTCTAACACACAGGACCCGTGGGCTCAGGACTCCTTTCTTCTGCCCCAGTCTGGGGCTGCACATGAGGAATGGTCCTTGCCTGGGGAGCCTGGAAGGTAGTGGGTTTTACCACAAACTTGGCAAAATCCTGGGTGAGGGTGGCTCAAGACCATGGCTGGTGATCATTCTGTCTTAGATCCACCTGGCACATGGGCCTGGACAGTCCCAGGTCCTGGTGGCCTGGCCTGTGCAAGTGTTTGTAATATCATGCTTGGGATTCTGGAAGACAGTAGCAACATGTACACAAGAGGTTCTGCCTTGAAAAGAACCAGTTTATTTGAAATCTGCTTATTGTTGGATGATAGCCTCCTGCCCAGCGGGTGCCAATGCTTTTGCTCCGCCCTGTCTTTGGGGAGACCTCCTTTCCTCAGGCTTCTTTGGTGCTTGCCTTAGTGCCTATCCAAACCCAGGGCTCATACCCCTACATCTTCCTCCTATGTCTCCCCAGGTACCTTGCCCAGTCTTCCCAGCACCTGCCTTTTGTGCTCTGATCTCTTGGGTATTATTACAACCAGAGGCTGGGAGGTGCTATACAGGTGGACAGGAAATTCCCAGGGCTTCAAGGTTGCAGGGATGCCAGTAGTTCATTTCCACTGAAGGCCTGTTTTGCTTGGTCAAGGTCTTCAGGAGGTAGGAGACTTTGCATGATGGATGTTGCTGTTTCTCTGTTGCCTCAGGATGAGCCATGTTCAAGGTCTCTTTGAGGCCATGTCCATGGCCAATAAGGGGATTGCTTGTTACAGTGTGGGGAAGTATCAGGAATGGCTTTTTGTGGTGTGTGTGTGTGTGGTGTGTGTGTGGTGTGTGTGTGTGTAGTCCCTTGTACTTAAGAAACGAGTTGCTGTTGTTTAGTTCTTGCATTGCAGAGGGCTACATGCACAGCTGCTGAACACTTGGAGGGTGAGTGTGAGCTGCTGACCTGGTATATTGGGATCTGGGCAGGGCAGGGAGAGTTGCTTCTCGTAGGTGCTAAGGGGCTGGCAGCAGCCACAGCGGGTCTCCAACTGCAGGGTGTCCGTATTGAAGCTGCCAAGAAGCAGAGACCGGCAGGATCAGGATTGGCCCCCTCCTTCCCGGCCAGTCCCAGAATAGAATGAACACTCTATCTGATTTGTAGGCCAGGCCCTCTGGAGCAAGCACCTGCTCATGGGCAATGAAAGTGTGGCCAGAATGAACTGCCTAGACAGTGGCTCTCAACGTGCTTAATGCTGTGACCCTTTAGCACAGTTCCTTGTATTATGGCAATGCTCAACCATAAAATTATTTTTATTGTTACTTTATAATTAATTTTGCTACAGTTATTAATCATAAGTAAATATTTGCGTTTTTCAGTGGTCTAAGGTGATTCCGTGAAAGGGCTATTTGACCCCTCCCAAGGGCCGTGACCACTCTGTTGGTCAGAGTAGATGTGGGAATTATTGAGAACCCAGCTCCTGGGAGGATTCTGGTCCTAGTAAAAGGGAAGGTGTTTGCCAACAACTCACCTAGCAGAGGAGGCACAGAAACCCTGGCAATGAGTTAGAGTCACATTTGCCACACAGCCCTGGTAGGTAATTTGTCGCTCCTCTTCCTGCAAGCTGCAGGCTCCTGGAGATGGAGGCCCAAGAACAGGTCTCAGTCACTTTAGTCCTTACCTGGCTCTCTCCTCTGTGTAGCTCCGTATCCCTCCAGCATTCAAGGCTTTCTTAAAGAATTTGGCATTGAGCTAGCCAGGCCCAGGTAGATCTGAGTCAGTTACCCATAGTCCCCAGTAAAGGTGTCTTAGGTCTGTTGAATGTTCGACATGCTGAGGGCCAAAGGAGGGTGTTGAAGGAGAATGTCCATGCCCCTCAGAAAAGAACATGTAATATCTGAGAATAAGCAATGTGCCACCTGGGTTAAGGGTCACAGCAGAGAAAGCCTTTTGCTCTGGGCTTCTGGAAAGGTTCCAGAGACCATGACATCCAATGACAAATGGATGCCTCAGGAGGCAGGCAGCATTGCATTGTTGATCTTAGGAACTGCCAGCGTGGCCAGTGTTGTGTTGGGGGACACCTGCATGTGACATCACTCAGGAGGCATATGTAGGAAGTCCATGAGTTCATGAAAAGCCCAGGTTAGATACTGCCCGTGTGGTACCTGGGTTACAAAGTTAAAAATTGGGGTCCAGTAGTGGTGGTGCACTCATTTAATCCCAGACCTTGAGAGGCAGAGGCAGGCGAATCTTTGTGAGTTCAAGGCCAGTCTGGTCTACAGAGAGAATTCTAGGGCAGCCAGAGAAACCCCATCTTGAAAAGCCAAGATGAAAGCAAAACAAAATGAAAAAACGAGTAAGATGGTTCAACAGGTAAAGGGTCTCGCTGCCAGACCTAAATGGCCTTTTGTTTCCCAGTACTTACAGGATGAGAGAACTGGCTCCTTTAAGTTTCCATACAACACACACACAGTAACTTAAACATGATTTGTGGGCAGCAGACAAGCTCTGTGTACCTTTTCTCTCCTCTGCTTGCTTCTCCCAGAGGTTTGGGGGAGGGTCTGGTGGCCTTCTGTTCCTTTCCTACAAAACTGTTTGGTCTCCTCACTTCCTGAGGCTATTTTCTCAGGAAACAGCCTGAACTTAAAGTGACAATCTGTAACCATGAGGCAGTAACAGATTGCTGATTCTGTGGGGACTTTCTGCACAAGGGAGACCTAGAGGATGTGTGGGGAGTCTGGCCCCAAGGTGGGTGCCTTGAGAGGAACACTCAGATTGGGTGAACTCAGAGTATAGGTTGAACTCCTGTCCCCGTGCAGGCTGACACTGTGTGGGGATCACTGCCCTGTGGGGAGCCCTGGTCAGGCAGTAGTGTAGGAGAGCTAGTAGAAACCATGGGCAGCAAGAAGTGTACATACTGGTTTCCAGGTTTTGCCTGGCCTCCAGTCCCATCTCTGCCTCCTGCATGTCACCTGGGATGAGCTGTGCCTGGACTAGGCACTGAGGTAGGTTGCATTCTAAAACTCAAGGGCCCTGTCAGATATCACTTGCTAGCTTCCCAAGGGAGAGGTGCAGAGAGTTGCTTAGAGATGTCAGGACCAAGGGGGGCACATGGGCCACAAGTGAGTGAGCCTCTTGCAGGGAACACAGGCCCAGAGAAGTCAAATGGACCTGAAATGTATGGGGATCAAGTCCCTAATTCAGCCAGACTGGTTGAACACAGAATAGTGTTCCTGACAGGTAAAGGGAAAGAAACTTGTAGTTAGGTCAAGAAACACCCAAAAGAAGCTCCAGAACCACGCTTTCATGGAGGCACCAAGGGATAATGGACGGAAAATACTATACAGCAGAACCACACTCTGAAGAATTCTGTGGAGTAAACAGTTGGAACTAAGCAGGCTAGGAGCCAAGGACCCAAGCAAATGGCGCCACTTACCAGGATGGGTAGGTGGAGAGGAGATCAAGGAGTCCGGACTGGAGGGTGACACTGGGGTAGTAGGCGAGGAGCTTCCAGTAGGAGTAGCAGGATTGCTCAGGAACACCGATGTAGGCAGTGGGCTGGTACCAGAAGGCCTAGTAGTGTGGTTGGTGTCTGGGAAACTTGAGGAGACTGTCATACCCATGGTTGAAGACAGTATCCCTGACGTAGAAGCTTGGGTAGTAAGGGAGGTAAAATGGGAGGTGGTGGACTTCGAGGAGGATGAAGAAAAGATGGGAACCTGAGATGTAGTCTTGGAAGTGGATAGAAGGCTAACACTGGAGGCTGGTATGCTAGATGGGGTGGGAGTCATGTGGATGGTGGGGAGAGCAGAGGAAGGAATGGATGAGGTGACAAGAGGGAGAACAGATGAATTAACAGGAGTAGAGGCTGTAGTTCCTGACACAACAGATGACTGCCATGATGTGGATTGAGTAAAGAGTGGGGAATGGGACACTGAGCTGGGAGTAGGAGTATACTGTGGAGTAGGCCCTACAGAACTTGAAGACGGAAGAGGCAATGACATGGAAGATGATGGGAAGGATGCTGAAGTAGGAACAGACAGAGTAATACCAGAGGTAGGTGGCAAAGAGGTAGGTGAGGTCACAAAGGAAGAATGTGGGACATTACTGAGAGAAACCAAAGTGGTTGGAGAGGTTGGTGGGACATAAGACAGAATAGGTATAGATGAAACAAAAGGAGAACGAGTAGAGCTGAGGGGAATTAATGATGAACTCAAATGTGAGGAAGAAGTTTTTGATGTGGTGAAGGAAGAGTACACAGAAGCAATAGAACTTGTAGTAGAAGAAACAAGTGATGGTGTTGTAGGGAGACTTGTACCCTTCATTGGGGTAGTGGAAAGAATGGTACTCAGTGGTGTGGATGTGGAAGCTGCAGATACTGTGTGCTGCTTTGTAGGGCTGCTCATTATCTCAGATGTCACAGGTGAGGTTAATGATATTGATGACATGTGTTGACTGGTTTGGGTGCCAGGTGTCACCGAACTGGGTGTCACAGAGGAGGTTGAAGACAGTGGCAGCTGTGTGGAGAGAGAGGTTCGAGGACCTGTTGGCGTTGGGATGTTGGAGGTGGCCTGTATGGATGTTTCTGAGGTGAGACCTGTGGTGTGCATCGTGCTGGAGACTGCAAGGGTGGTTGAAGGGTGTGTGGTGTGTGGAGCATGAGGACTACTAGGTGTGGCTGAGGTGGTGTGGACCACAGGTGTCGCAGTGGCCGCCGTGGTGGACCCAGTTGTTTGAGGAACAGTGGTGGATTGGTGTGAAGTCATAGAGGCAGTTTCTGGAAAGTGTGAAGTAGAGGTTCTGGCTGTGGAGAATGAGGTTTGAACTTGTGTGGTGGCACTGGATGTGTATACCACAGCTACTGGTGTTTGTGGGGTCCCAGTGGCCTCGCTTGTGGTGTGGAGAGTGGTGGTGTGTGGCCTGGATGTGGATGGTGATGATGGTGTGTGTTGACTTGCAGGGTGGGTAAGTATCTCAGATGTTGTCACAGGTGAGGTTGACAATGACGGCAGTGGTGTGGTCAAAGAGGTCTGAGGAGCTGATGGGGTTGGGAAGGTGATGGTGGTCTTCTGGGATATTGCTGAAGGACTTGTGGTGTGTGGTGTCCTAGAGACTTCAGCTGTGGTTGCAGAGTGTGTGGTATGTGGTGTATTGGCGCTGCTAGGTGTGCCTGAGGTGGTGTGCACCACATGGGTCCCAGTTACACCCGTAGTTGTTGTGGTTAAGGTAGAAGTGGCTGGCCCTGAGGTCGAGTGGTAGGGGGTCAACGAGGAAGTTTGTGGAATGTGGGAAGTAGAGGTCCTGTCTGTGGAGAATGGGCTTCTGCTTTGGGTGAAGGCACTGGTTGTGTAAACGAAGTGTGTTGATGTGTGTGGAGGCCTTGTGCCTTCCACTGTGGTTGGAAGAGCAGTCAGTGGTGTCGATGAGGTGGGCGGTGTTGATGAGGGGAGTTGACTGGTTTGGGTGCCAGGTGTCACCGAACTGGGTGTCACAGAGGAGGTTGAAGACAGTGGCAGCTGTGTGGAGAGAGAGGTTCGAGGACCTGTTGGCGTTGGGATGTTGGAGGTGGCCTGTATGGATGTTTCTGAGGTGAGACCTGTGGTGTGCATCGTGCTGGAGACTGCAAGGGTGGTTGAAGGGTGTGTGGTGTGTGGAGCATGAGCACTACTAGGTGTGGCTGAGGTGGTGTGGACCACAGGTGTCGCAGTGGCCGCCGTGGTGGACCCAGTTGTTTGAGGAACAGTGGTGGATTGGTGTGAAGTCATGGAGGCAGTTTCTGGAAAGTGTGAAGTAGAGGTTCTGGCTGTGGAGAATGAGGTTTGAACTTGTGTGGTGGCACTGGATGTGTATACCACAGCTACTGGTGTTTGTGGGGTCCCAGTGGCCTCGCTTGTGGTGTGGAGAGTGGTGGTGTGTGGCCTGGATGTGGATGGTGATGATGGTGTGTGTTGACTTGCAGGGTGGGTAAGTATCTCAGATGTTGTCACAGGTGAGGTTGACAATGACGGCAGTGGTGTGGTCAAAGAGGTCTGAGGAGCTGATGGGGTTGGGAAGGTGATGGTGGTCTTCTGGGATATTGCTGAAGGACTTGTGGTGTGTGGTGTCCTAGAGACTTCAGCTGTGGCTGCAGAGTGTGTGGTATGTGGTGTATTGGCGCTGCTAGGTGTGCCTGAGGTGGTGTGCACCACATGGGTCCCAGTTACACCCGTAGTTGTTGTGGTTAAGGTAGAAGTGGCTGGCCCTGAGGTCGAGTGGTAGGGGGTCAACGAGGAAGTTTGTGGAATGTGGGAAGTAGAGGTCCTGTCTGTGGAGAATGGGCTTCTGCTTTGGCTGAAGGCACTGGTTGTGTAAACGACGTGTGTTGATGTGTGTGGAGGCCTTGTGCCTTCCACTGTGGTTGGAAGAGCAGTCAGTGGTGTCGATGAGGTGGGCGGTGTTGATGAGGGGAGTTGACTGGTTTGGGTGCCAGGTGTCACCGAACTGGGTGTCACAGAGGAGGTTGAAGACAGTGGCAGCTGTGTGGAGAGAGAGGTTCGAGGACCTGTTGGCGTTGGGATGTTGGAGGTGGCCTGTATGGATGTTTCTGAGGTGAGACCTGTGGTGTGCATCGTGCTGGAGACTGCAAGGGTGGTTGAAGGGTGTGTGGTGTGTGGAGCATGAGGACTACTAGGTGTGGCTGAGGTGGTGTGGACCACAGGTGTCGCAGTGGCCGCCGTGGTGGACCCAGTTGTTTGAGGAACAGTGGTGGATTGGTGTGAAGTCATGGAGGCAGTTTCTGGAAAGTGTGAAGTAGAGGTTCTGGCTGTGGAGAATGAGGTTTGAACTTGTGTGGTGGCACTGGATGTGTATACCACAGCTACTGGTGTTTGTGGGGTCCCAGTGGCCTCGCTTGTGGTGTGGAGAGTGGTGGTGTGTGGCCTGGATGTGGATGGTGATGATGGTGTGTGTTGACTTGCAGGGTGGGTAAGTATCTCAGATGTTGTCACAGGTGAGGTTGACAATGACGGCAGTGGTGTGGTCAAAGAGGTCTGAGGAGCTGATGGGGTTGGGAAGGTGATGGTGGTCTTCTGGGATATTGCTGAAGGACTTGTGGTGTGTGGTGTCCTAGAGACTTCAGCTGTGGTTGCAGAGTGTGTGGTATGTGGTGTATTGGCGCTGCTAGGTGTGCCTGAGGTGGTGTGCACCACATGGGTCCCAGTTACACCCGTAGTTGTTGTGGTTAAGGTAGAAGTGGCTGGCCCTGAGGTCGAGTGGTAGGGGGTCAACGAGGAAGTTTGTGGAATGTGGGAAGTAGAGGTCCTGTCTGTGGAGAATGGGCTTCTGCTTTGGCTGAAGGCACTGGTTGTGTAAACGACGTGTGTTGATGTGTGTGGAGGCCTTGTGCCTTCCACTGTGGTTGGAAGAGCAGTCAGTGGTGTCGATGAGGTGGGCGGTGTTGATGAGGGGAGTTGACTGGTTTGGGTGCCAGGTGTCACCGAACTGGGTGTCACAGAGGAGGTTGAAGACAGTGGCAGCTGTGTGGAGAGAGAGGTTCGAGGACCTGTTGGCGTTGGGATGTTGGAGGTGGCCTGTATGGATGTTTCTGAGGTGAGACCTGTGGTGTGCATCGTGCTGGAGACTGCAAGGGTGGTTGAAGGGTGTGTGGTGTGTGGAGCATGAGGACTACTAGGTGTGGCTGAGGTGGTGTGGACCACAGGTGTCGCAGTGGCCGCCGTGGTGGACCCAGTTGTTTGAGGAACAGTGGTGGATTGGTGTGAAGTCATGGAGGCAGTTTCTGGAAAGTGTGAAGTAGAGGTTCTGGCTGTGGAGAATGAGGTTTGAACTTGTGTGGTGGCACTGGATGTGTATACCACAGCTACTGGTGTTTGTGGGGTCCCAGTGGCCTCGCTTGTGGTGTGGAGAGTGGTGGTGTGTGGCCTGGATGTGGATGGTGATGATGGTGTGTGTTGACTTGCAGGGTGGGTAAGTATCTCAGATGTTGTCACAGGTGAGGTTGACAATGACGGCAGTGGTGTGGTCAAAGAGGTCTGAGGAGCTGATGGGGTTGGGAAGGTGATGGTGGTCTTCTGGGATATTGCTGAAGGACTTGTGGTGTGTGGTGTCCTAGAGACTTCAGCTGTGGTTGCAGAGTGTGTGGTATGTGGTGTATTGGCGCTGCTAGGTGTGCCTGAGGTGGTGTGCACCACATGGGTCCCAGTTACACCCGTAGTTGTTGTGGTTAAGGTAGAAGTGGCTGGCCCTGAGGTCGAGTGGTAGGGGGTCAACGAGGAAGTTTGTGGAATGTGGGAAGTAGAGGTCCTGTCTGTGGAGAATGGGCTTCTGCTTTGGCTGAAGGCACTGGTTGTGTAAACGACGTGTGTTGATGTGTGTGGAGGCCTTGTGCCTTCCACTGTGGTTGGAAGAGCAGTCAGTGGTGTCGATGAGGTGGGCGGTGTTGATGAGGGGAGTTGACTGGTTTGGGTGCCAGGTGTCACCGAACTGGGTGTCACAGAGGAGGTTGAAGACAGTGGCAGCTGTGTGGAGAGAGAGGTTCGAGGACCTGTTGGCGTTGGGATGTTGGAGGTGGCCTGTATGGATGTTTCTGAGGTGAGACCTGTGGTGTGCATCGTGCTGGAGACTGCAAGGGTGGTTGAAGGGTGTGTGGTGTGTGGAGCATGAGGACTACTAGGTGTGGCTGAGGTGGTGTGGACCACAGGTGTCGCAGTGGCCGCCGTGGTGGACCCAGTTGTTTGAGGAACAGTGGTGGATTGGTGTGAAGTCATAGAGGCAGTTTCTGGAAAGTGTGAAGTAGAGGTTCTGGCTGTGGAGAATGAGGTTTGAACTTGTGTGGTGGCACTGGATGTGTATACCACAGCTACTGGTGTTTGTGGGGTCCCAGTGGCCTCGCTTGTGGTGTGGAGAGTGGTGGTGTGTGGCCTGGATGTGGATGGTGATGATGGTGTGTGTTGACTTGCAGGGTGGGTAAGTATCTCAGATGTTGTCACAGGTGAGGTTGACAATGACGGCAGTGGTGTGGTCAAAGAGGTCTGAGGAGCTGATGGGGTTGGGAAGGTGATGGTGGTCTTCTGGGATATTGCTGAAGGACTTGTGGTGTGTGGTGTCCTAGAGACTTCAGCTGTGGTTGCAGAGTGTGTGGTATGTGGTGTATTGGCGCTGCTAGGTGTGCCTGAGGTGGTGTGCACCACATGGGTCCCAGTTACACCCGTAGTTGTTGTGGTTAAGGTAGAAGTGGCTGGCCCTGAGGTCGAGTGGTAGGGGGTCAACGAGGAAGTTTGTGGAATGTGGGAAGTAGAGGTCCTGTCTGTGGAGAATGGGCTTCTGCTTTGGCTGAAGGCACTGGTTGTGTAAACGACGTATGTTGATGTGTGTGGAGGCCTTGTGCCTTCCACTGTGGTTGGAAGAGCAGTCAGTGGTGTCGATGAGGTGGGCGGTGTTGATGAGGGGAGTTGACTGGTTTGGGTGCCAGGTGTCACCGAACTGGGTGTCACAGAGGAGGTTGAAGACAGTGGCAGCTGTGTGGAGAGAGAGGTTCGAGGACCTGTTGGCGTTGGGATGTTGGAGGTGGCCTGTATGGATGTTTCTGAGGTGAGACCTGTGGTGTGCATCGTGCTGGAGACTGCAAGGGTGGTTGAAGGGTGTGTGGTGTGTGGAGCATGAGGACTACTAGGTGTGGCTGAGGTGGTGTGGACCACAGGTGTCGCAGTGGCCGCCGTGGTGGACCCAGTTGTTTGAGGAACAGTGGTGGATTGGTGTGAAGTCATGGAGGCAGTTTCTGGAAAGTGTGAAGTAGAGGTTCTGGCTGTGGAGAATGAGGTTTGAACTTGTGTGGTGGCACTGGATGTGTATACCACAGCTACTGGTGTTTGTGGGGTCCCAGTGGCCTCGCTTGTGGTGTGGAGAGTGGTGGTGTGTGGCCTGGATGTGGATGGTGATGATGGTGTGTGTTGACTTGCAGGGTGGGTAAGTATCTCAGATGTTGTCACAGGTGAGGTTGACAATGACGGCAGTGGTGTGGTCAAAGAGGTCTGAGGAGCTGATGGGGTTGGGAAGGTGATGGTGGTCTTCTGGGATATTGCTGAAGGACTTGTGGTGTGTGGTGTCCTAGAGACTTCAGCTGTGGTTGCAGAGTGTGTGGTATGTGGTGTATTGGCGCTGCTAGGTGTGCCTGAGGTGGTGTGCACCACATGGGTCCCAGTTACACCCGTAGTTGTTGTGGTTAAGGTAGAAGTGGCTGGCCCTGAGGTCGAGTGGTAGGGGGTCAACGAGGAAGTTTGTGGAATGTGGGAAGTAGAGGTCCTGTCTGTGGAGAATGGGCTTCTGCTTTGGCTGAAGGCACTGGTTGTGTAAACGACGTGTGTTGATGTGTGTGGAGGCCTTGTGCCTTCCACTGTGGTTGGAAGAGCAGTCAGTGGTGTCGATGAGGTGGGCGGTGTTGATGAGGGGAGTTGACTGGTTTGGGTGCCAGGTGTCACCGAACTGGGTGTCACAGAGGAGGTTGAAGACAGTGGCAGCTGTGTGGAGAGAGAGGTTCGAGGACCTGTTGGCGTTGGGATGTTGGAGGTGGCCTGTATGGATGTTTCTGAGGTGAGACCTGTGGTGTGCATCGTGCTGGAGACTGCAAGGGTGGTTGAAGGGTGTGTGGTGTGTGGAGCATGAGGACTACTAGGTGTGGCTGAGGTGGTGTGGACCACAGGTGTCGCAGTGGCCGCCGTGGTGGACCCAGTTGTTTGAGGAACAGTGGTGGATTGGTGTGAAGTCATAGAGGCAGTTTCTGGAAAGTGTGAAGTAGAGGTTCTGGCTGTGGAGAATGAGGTTTGAACTTGTGTGGTGGCACTGGATGTGTATACCACAGCTACTGGTGTTTGTGGGGTCCCAGTGGCCTCGCTTGTGGTGTGGAGAGTGGTGGTGTGTGGCCTGGATGTGGATGGTGATGATGGTGTGTGTTGACTTGCAGGGTGGGTAAGTATCTCAGATGTTGTCACAGGTGAGGTTGACAATGACGGCAGTGGTGTGGTCAAAGAGGTCTGAGGAGCTGATGGGGTTGGGAAGGTGATGGTGGTCTTCTGGGATATTGCTGAAGGACTTGTGGTGTGTGGTGTCCTAGAGACTTCAGCTGTGGTTGCAGAGTGTGTGGTATGTGGTGTATTGGTGTTGCTAGGTATGCCTGTGGTGGTGTGCACCACATGGGTCCCAGTTACACCCGTAGTTGTTGTGGTTAAGGTAGAAGTGGCTGGCCCTGAGGTCGAGTGGTAGGGGGTCAACGAGGAAGTTTGTGGAATGTGGGAAGTAGAGGTCCTGTCTGTGGAGAATGGGCTTCTGCTTTGGCTGAAGGCACTGGTTGTGTAAACGACGTGTGTTGATGTGTGTGGAGGCCTTGTGCCTTCCACTGTGGTTGGAAGAGCAGTCAGTGGTGTCGATGAGGTGGGCGGTGTTGATGAGGGGAGTTGACTGGTTTGGGTGCCAGGTGTCACCGAACTGGGTGTCACAGAGGAGGTTGAAGACAGTGGCAGCTGTGTGGAGAGAGAGGTTCGAGGACCTGTTGGCGTTGGGATGTTGGAGGTGGCCTGTATGGATGTTTCTGAGGTGAGACCTGTGGTGTGCATCGTGCTGGAGACTGCAAGGGTGGTTGAAGGGTGTGTGGTGTGTGGAGCATGAGGACTACTAGGTGTGGCTGAGGTGGTGTGGACCACAGGTGTCGCAGTGGCCGCCGTGGTGGACCCAGTTGTTTGAGGAACAGTGGTGGATTGGTGTGAAGTCATGGAGGCAGTTTCTGGAAAGTGTGAAGTAGAGGTTCTGGCTGTGGAGAATGAGGTTTGAACTTGTGTGGTGGCACTGGATGTGTATACCACAGCTACTGGTGTTTGTGGGGTCCCAGTGGCCTCGCTTGTGGTGTGGAGAGTGGTGGTGTGTGGCCTGGATGTGGATGGTGATGATGGTGTGTGTTGACTTGCAGGGTGGGTAAGTATCTCAGATGTTGTCACAGGTGAGGTTGACAATGACGGCAGTGGTGTGGTCAAAGAGGTCTGAGGAGCTGATGGGGTTGGGAAGGTGATGGTGGTCTTCTGGGATATTGCTGAAGGACTTGTGGTGTGTGGTGTCCTAGAGACTTCAGCTGTGGCTGCAGAGTGTGTGGTATGTGGTGTATTGGCGCTGCTATGTGTGCCTGAGGTGGTGTGCACCACATGGGTCCCAGTTACATCCGTAGTTGTTGTGGTTAAGGTAGAAGTGGCTGGCCCTGAGGTCGAGTGGTAGGGGGTCAACGAGGAAGTTTGTGGAATGTGGGAAGTAGAGGTCCTGTCTGTGGAGAATGGGCTTCTGCTTTGGCTGAAGGCACTGGTTGTGTAAACGACGTGTGTTGATGTGTGTGGAGGCCTTGTGCCTTCCACTGTGGTTGGAAGAGCAGTCAGTGGTGTCGATGAGGTAGGCGGTGTTGATGAGGGGAGTTGACTGGTTTGGGTGCCAGGTGTCACCGAACTGGGTGTCACAGAGGAGGTTGAAGACAGTGGCAGCTGTGTGGAGAGAGAGGTTCGAGGACCTGTTGGCGTTGGGATGTTGGAGGTGGCCTGTATGGATGTTTCTGAGGTGAGACCTGTGGTGTGCATCGTGCTGGAGACTGCAAGGGTGGTTGAAGGGTGTGTGGTGTGTGGAGCATGAGGACTACTAGGTGTGGCTGAGGTGGTGTGGACCACAGGTGTCGCAGTGGCCGCCGTGGTGGACCCAGTTGTTTGAGGAACAGTGGTGGATTGGTGTGAAGTCATGGAGGCAGTTTCTGGAAAGTGTGAAGTAGAGGTTCTGGCTGTGGAGAATGAGGTTTGAACTTGTGTGGTGGCACTGGATGTGTATACCACAGCTACTGGTGTTTGTGGGGTCCCAGTGGCCTCGCTTGTGGTGTGGAGAGTGGTGGTGTGTGGCCTGGATGTGGATGGTGATGATGGTGTGTGTTGACTTGCAGGGTGGGTAAGTATCTCAGATGTTGTCACAGGTGAGGTTGACAATGACGGCAGTGGTGTGGTCAAAGAGGTCTGAGGAGCTGATGGGGTTGGGAAGGTGATGGTGGTCTTCTGGGATATTGCTGAAGGACTTGTGGTGTGTGGTGTCCTAGAGACTTCAGCTGTGGTTGCAGAGTGTGTGGTATGTGGTGTATTGGCGCTGCTAGGTGTGCCTGAGGTGGTGTGCACCACATGGGTCCCAGTTACACCCGTAGTTGTTGTGGTTAAGGTAGAAGTGGCTGGCCCTGAGGTCGAGTGGTAGGGGGTCAACGAGGAAGTTTGTGGAATGTGGGAAGTAGAGGTCCTGTCTGTGGAGAATGGGCTTCTGCTTTGGCTGAAGGCACTGGTTGTGTAAACGAAGTGTGTTGATGTGTGTGGAGGCCTTGTGCCTTCCACTGTGGTTGGAAGAGCAGTCAGTGGTGTCGATGAGGTGGGCGGTGTTGATGAGGGGAGTTGACTGGTTTGGGTGCCAGGTGTCACCGAACTGGGTGTCACAGAGGAGGTTGAAGACAGTGGCAGCTGTGTGGAGAGAGAGGTTCGAGGACCTGTTGGCGTTGGGATGTTGGAGGTGGCCTGTATGGATGTTTCTGAGGTGAGACCTGTGGTGTGCATCGTGCTGGAGACTGCAAGGGTGGTTGAAGGGTGTGTGGTGTGTGGAGCATGAGCACTACTAGGTGTGGCTGAGGTGGTGTGGACCACAGGTGTCGCAGTGGCTGCCGTGGTCAACCTTGTTGATAGGGTTCTAGCCGTAATCGATGTTGATTGATGGGCATTCATGGAGGAAGTTTCTGGGAAGTGTGAAGTAGAGGTTCTGCCTGTGGAGAATGAGGTTTTGATTTTTCTCTTCTTTACATGCATGTTGCATTTTCTGTATATTTCTGTACTCAGAGAGCCCCTTGGGTGTTTTTTTCTGTGTGTGTATGTGTGTGTGTGTGTATGTGTGTGTGTGCGTGTTAAATTTAGTGCTCTTAACGCTCCCTCTACCCCAGTGTATTCTCTTGCTGCTCCTTCTCTTGCATCTGGCTTTCCTATGGCCTTATTTGTGGCTGTGAGCCTTGTTGTTTCCTCTTTTTGCTGCTTCTAGTCTGCCAAATGAATCCCATTCTCTCTCTTCTCCCTGAACATTTTAATTACTCTTTCTGAGTTGATTTTTCTGTACTGAGGGCCAGAGTTGAACATTTGACTCTGATTCCCTGCTTCTCATGTTGACTCACCTTCGCTGGTGGACATCCCAGGCCCTTCTGAGGTTAGTTTCGCCACAGTGGTACTCTCTGTGAACTGAGCTGTGGTCTTTGTGGATGGGCTGGTAGAAGATGCTGTGGGCTTGCTTGTTGCTTGTGTCACTGGGAGCCTTGTGGGTGTTGTCTTCGGTATGGATGTAGGCGCCAAAGGTGATGTCAATGGTGTGGTAGCCACAGTAGTTTGAGGGTGTTCTGTAAAAGAATGTCATGGTAATATTCTCTTTTCTCCTCTGCTTTTATCCTGATGCTTGTTTGAATCCCCTGTTCTTTTCTCCTGCCTTCAGGATGCTTGTTACCTCTTTATAGTTTGATGAACACCAGTTTTTTCCCTTTCCCAGCCTGCAAGTCCACATGGGTGGAGCTGGCTCACATCAAAGGCAGTGACCCTAAGGCTGTCGTGGGCCAGTCATCATCCCTCTGCTCAGAGTTCAGCTCTTTGCACTGATGTTCCTTGCTGCTTGGTGTCCCAGCCCCATCTGGGAATGCTTCTCGTGTGAGTAGGGCAGGCTTCAGGTTGGAGGCCCAGCAGATCCCATATATATTCTAGTGGGAGTGTCACACAGCTTTGAATGGCCACACTGAGTGACCGTCTAGCTTGAGTTGTAAGCTTGGTTTCCCGAAAAATCTCCACCCTGCTTTTCATGCCCGGGGAATTCTGAGTTTAGACCCCACCTTGAGGCATATCTCAGTGGGGAGACGATGAGTGACTCCTCCATACCCTAGGGTTCTGCTGTGCCCCCTCCTTTTTACCTCCTGAGGAGACTGTGGATTTCTTGGGGGTAGTCCAATGTGTTACTTCCTCAGTGGAGGATGGAGCTGAGGGTGGCGGGGTTGGAAGACTTGGCAAGTCGGAGGGACCCAGAGGTGTAGATGCAGAGCTGGGGCTGTGTACCTCAGTGCTGGTGGGGGCTGCTGTGGTAGGCTGTGAACCTGTTGGGGCACATGTGCACTCATGAACAGGCAGAGTCTGCCTCTGGTGCCCCTCTCGCAAGAGACTGATATGCTGGCTGAAGGGCTAGGCATAAGATGCAGGGTGGCCCATGGACCTGTGAAGGCAGCATGGACCCCTTGTAGACTCACCTGTTGAGGCTCTGCTTCCTGCTCTATCACACATGAAGTGATTCAAGTGGCCAGGGCCAATGCTGGCTAGGAGCCAAGTTGTCTATGCTGTTTCCCTTCTGACCTGGGACTGCAAGGTACATTACCCACCCTCCCAGGAGCCGGCAGGGGCGGAGACTGGACTGGTGGGGTGGGGGAGAGCTGTCCACTGAGCTAGGGTGAGCCGTAGGCAGGAAGCCCTCATCCTGTGCTACCCGATCGTAAGCAATCACCTGTGGGGGCTGGCGGTAGTGCGGTAGTGGGAGGCGCTGCAAGAGAAGGCAACCATCACGGTTTGCTCCCCGACTGTCCCGTTGCTCCCCGACTGTCCCACTCTTCTCCTTCCCTTCCTCCCTCGTCAGCCTGGCAGGGAGAGTAGGGGACCAGCCAGGGTGCCATGGCAGGGTAATGTAGAGCTGGGTTCACAGGAAAATTCCCATTATGTACCCAGGTCACCTGGCTGGCTTGGGACACTCTGCCCTAGGATTATGGCTAAGCAGTGGCTGCGATGGGGACCAGAGCAGAGGCCAAGGGACAAGTGTTGCATTTTTGTTTCTATTTGAGCCTGTGTGTCAGTGTCCTGAGGGAAAGGATCTAGGAAAGAGTTCCCAGGGCTGCTTATTTTACTTACACAAGGGCTGTACTATCTGGAGGCAGGGGCCTGCTAGACTTACCACAGGGTACACAGGTCCCTTCTTTGTGGTCGAAGTACTCATTCTGGGAGCAGTTGTAGCAGCCTGGGGTAGAAAGGGCCAGGCTCAGCACCCCTTTTCACACCCACTAGCCCCACGTGTCTCCAGGGACCACTGCTGTTCTCTGCTCCCTTCTCAGCCCCGATGCCACCCCTCCCTCCCCCATTTCACACCAGCCTCTGAAGTCACCTGCTGGGCTCTAGAACTCTGCCCTGTGTGTCCTTGCTTTAGCTCTCGACTCCTGGGTCTTAACTGCCTTTTCATGTTTTTAATTATGAGACATGTCACTACTTAACTCTGATTGACATGAAACTCACTATGTAGCCCAGAATGTCTTTGAACTTACGGAAATCTGGGTGCCTCTGCCTCCTGAGTTCTGGGACTAAAGGTGTGCACCTCCATGACTGGCCTAATTGCTCTTTTTTTTTTTTTTTAATGTGGAGACCCCTGTCTTTGTCTCCACTCCTACTCCCTCTTATCTTCCACTCTGCCAGAGACTAGAGTAGCAGCAGTCCATCTAGCTGTGCTGTTCCTACGGCGCCTGTCTTAACTTCCACTGTGGTACATGTGTTGTCTGACAGCCTTTTAATTCCTTAGTTTGATTTTAGGGATCTTTCCCAGGCTAGAGAGCAGGGCTGGTTTGTGTGCCACTAGGTCTGTAGTCAAGAAGAAGGCCTAGAATGGAGGACACATTTGCTGAGCATGCGAGTGAGTGACTGCGTGAGTGGATGAAGTGGTGGGGGTAGATGTGTACTGAGTAACGGGTGGGTGAACGAATGCAGGAGAGTGGATCTGTGTGTGAATGAATGGATGCGCTATGGACAGGTGTGTGTATGAAAGAGCGAATGAACAAGCATGAATAAATGGATGATACCTTCAATGTTGGTGTCCGGGAAGCTCTCCAGGCTGCCAGGGCAGAGACAGGGCTGGTAGTGCCACGTGCAGTTGGCCTCCTGTGCGTACTGGTATTCGTTCTCACCCACCAGTGTGTGGACGTTGTAGAAGTCGCAGTAGACAGCTGAGAGGAAGGATGTGTGTTAACTGGCATCAAGGCCTAAATGCCAGTGTGAAGAGCTTGCGTGCTCTTGGAGGCTGTCTCCTCTTGATGGGTCTGGGAAGGGAGAGTCTGGGGATCAGCTGGTGACTCAGGGTTGCCCTGCAGGGGTCCAGCCTGGCGCCTGCCTAGAGAGAGGCTTCTGAGGTAGGTGCCTGGGTGGAGCAGATTTGGGCATGGCATGAAGTACTCACGGCAGAAGTCTGGGGCCCTCCAGTCCACACACACGCCCTTGTCCAGACAGGCCTTGGCATAAGCTGCCACTGCATCGCACAGACACTCACAGTCTCCGCCCATGTCGCACCCACAGGTATCACGCACGCAGGCCTCATAGTAGGGCAGGTGATATACCTATGGAGTAGAGGGTCTCGTGTTGGCATTTGTTTTGCAATGCTGGCAAGGTGGAATTAGACTTTGCTGCCGTGGGTATAGATATTGGGGAAATGCCCTGGCACTCTGAGAGAGCATCTTCTAGTGTAAGCTGCAGCTGTCAGGGGCTGTCACCTTCTAGACATACATGCTATTGGTGCTCAGTCAGCCCTGCCCTGGGGTGTCTGTTAGAGACAACTCCTATTGGGGCTGGGGTTTGGCAACCTAAGGCTGGGTGTCTCTTGCTTAAATACCTGATCCTCTTAGGGTCTCTACTCTTGTCTTGACTCTCCTGAACACCCCAGATGACTTCTGGGTATAGGGCCTTTGCACTGCCTGGGGTAAACCCCTGTCATTCTAATGAGCGCCAAGAATCAGTGCTGTACTAAAAACTCATGATTCCAGAAAAGTTCACCCCTGGCCCTTGCTGGACCCCTTATGACTGAGTATTTCCTCTCTGGGTCATGCACCCCAGAGCAGCAATTATCTGCCTGAGATGACACTTTCCTCACTGTCTCATCTGCTATGGTCTGCTAGTAGGTAGAGGTCTGGGCATTGCTAACCATCTCTAGCTTTTGGATGGCACTGACCTCAGGTGATGGGTATTCCCCTCTCCACACCTGATATCCCCAGCCAACTTAAGTCCCATGGTAGGACTGTGTCTGATATTTCCATCTTGGAGGACGGGGCCTACCTTGCTGTGGCAGGCAGCAAAGGTCTGGCTGTTGATAATGCTGCATTTGCGCTCAGCCCAGGAGCGCCGGAAGGCATTTAGGCTACAGGGATCCACCACATAACTTGCATCCCCGCACAGTGGACTCTCTTTCCATGAGTTCACAAACTCCATTTCATCGGATGCCACGTATTTGCTGCGTGTCTCAAAGTCATCCTTCATGTTCCCATTGGAGTTGCCACACAAGCCACAGAGGGCATCCTGTGGGAGCAGATTGCTAGGGAGCCATGCAGGTTCACAGCGGACCTCTCGCCCCGAGACCCAATGGAATCTTGGCTCACTGGCAAGCACGCAGTGAGTACCTGGGTGGCACGGCGGATCTTGATGGAGACGCTCATGTGCTTGTTCCACACAAGTGTCAGGTTGAGCCTTCCAGGGATGCCTATGTCCAGGATGAGATTCAGGGGACTGGGCTTCACCTGAAGGTGCACCAGGGGTTCTTCCCCGCTGACTGTGTAGTTTCTGTCTGCCATTGTTATGGAAAGCCCCTGTATGGAGAGGGCTGTCACCACTTGCTTTCTCTTCCTGCCCATCCCAGTACCCAAGCTAACTGTGATTTGGATGTTTGGGAGTTAGAGGTGTAAAATCCAACGTAATAAATTTCCATCTTTGTGAGGATCAGGAGTTCAAAGCCAGCCTAAACAGCATGATAAACTTGAGGCTAGCCTAAGCTACATGAGACCTTGTCTCAAAACAAGAACAATGACAGATGTGTAGGAGTGTCTGCTTAGATCCAGTTCTGGACAGAAGGTTCTAGGCATGTGGAAACAGATTCAGCTTCCTGGAGAGCAGCTTTCTTTTCCTGCCCCAAATGCTGTATGTCCCTGGGAAACTGGTGGAGACCATGTGGTCACTAGTTCTGAGTGTGCAACTACCCAGTTGGTCACCAGTCTCTGGCCACCCCTTCCTGCCATACAAATGAGGAAGGTGGGAGGACTATGCAGTAATGTGGAGGCGGGGAGACCTGGGAATTGATGATCAAAATACAGCCCTCTCCCACCCTTTGGGGCCCAGCCACTTACACCCAGGGAGATCTTGATGGCTCGGGAGCAGGTGACCCCTGACTTCCCACAGATGACGTTCTCTGTCAGGACCTTGAAGGTAGGCTGTGAGCTGTTGGCACCACAGTCATCCTGCAAGAAAGGGTGTTGAGGAGAAGCCCTCATGGTCCCCACCCTGGCTCCTTACAGCCTTTGGCACTGGGCGCAGTGGTTACCGTGGCCAGAGTATATTCGCAGTTGCCATCAAACACAAAGCGCTGTCCATCAAAAGTTATGATGTGGCCTTCACCATAGAGGACACAGGTAGATGGGCATTGTGTGCTAAGCTGGCAGGTCCACCTTCCCTGTGAGCAAGTGCTGGGGAGATGGAAGGGGAGGAGTGGGTAGAGGCAGCCCTTCCACACAAGGAGGTGGGCCAGAGAGCTGGGTCATGACGCTAGGATACCCCACCTCTGGGAGCCCCACCTTGGGGGACAACTTACTTTAAGGAGTCCTTGCCAGCCCAGATGGCCCTCAGGATCTGGGTGTTCAGGGTAAGGATGACCTACCAGGTCTTACAGTCAGTATGGAGCTCAGAACCACCAGGATAGGACATTCCTGCAAAGTCACATGGGCATTCCTCTGCAGGCACACACTGCCCATTGCTGTTCTCATAGAGCCCCGTAGGACACGTACAGCCGGGCTCGCATTTGGTGGGTACCTGGTGGGGAGACGGGGTTCTTAGCTTCTCAACAGTGTGCTACCCCAACTCTAGCTCCTTAAGACACCCCATGTCTTTCTTTCTGTCCAGCCTTCTCTGTCTCTGTCTCTCTGTCTCTGTGTCTGTCTGTCTGTCTCTTTCTCACGTGCGCACATGCATGCGTGTGTATCAGACTGGTCTGCCACATATACAGCGACAGGTGGCCATAGTTCCCAAGCTGGGAAGCAGTCCATGTCCTCACAGAATAGTATAGACAAGCACCCAGTCTTCCAGCTACCTAGCTGCCAATCAGCACTAGCTATTGAAACAGACACATGGCTAGAGGGAAATTGTGGGTGCAGCATGACTCTGCCCTTCACTGGGCTCCTGCAGATTTGTGGAAACCCTCCTCACTACTTACACAAGCAATTCCTGTGGCCAGCATCTGACATGTGGGGGCACACGCAGCCCCGAACTTGTCCTCTGATGACTGGCTGCAGGACTGGAAAGTCTTGGGCTCTGGGCAGGATGCTGTAGGGAAAAAGAGAGCAGGTCAAGTGGATTGGGGGACACCAGGTGGTGGAGGGACCTGCTGGACAGGGTCTCATGGCCAGCTTCTGGTACACACTTACCCAAGAACATCTCTGCCTGCCGTGGGCAGCTCAGGCGGCCATTGATGCAGTAGCTGTAAGAAAGGGGCAGGGGCACATGAACTTACAGGTATGCAGGGCCCCTCCCCCATCAGGCATTGCCCAACCCTGCCCTCCATACCATATGACCCCATTGATCATTGTTGACTGATCAGCCTGGACGAACTTGTTGCTGTCCAGCAGGCAGGGGCACTGGGCCTTGTGCACACATTCTGCTTTGTGGTTCAAGTAGGTGCCCTCAGGACAGTTGCAGCCATCCACTGGGACAGCACTTGTGTGACACTCCGTCTCACGGTCCGACAGAGACAGGCAGGTGCGGTCACAGGCCTTGCTATCATAGCTGAACGTGCGGTTGCCAGTGCAAGGCACAGCTGTGGGGAGCTAGGGGTCAGGTTCTCAGGACAGGAAGCTGTGCAGAGGGGGCCTGGAGCTTGGGGATGTGATGACTAGCAGGCAGAGAAATGACTGAGCGGAAGGCCCTAGAATTCCTCAAGATGACCACAGTCAGGGGCTCTGTTGGGGTCCAGGCTCCCATTCCTCCCATGCCCACAGCCCTGCCCCTTCTGATACTGCCACATCCTCCCGCCACACAGCCGGCACTCACTGCAATTGTCCACACTGTTCCTCCAGCCTAAGAGCAGGATGCCTCGGGAGGAACAGGCATGGGCATAGGCCCCCAGTGCAGAGCAGATGTGAGGGAAGGTCTCCTCATAGTTGCAGGCCTGGTACACACACCTCTGTGGGGAGGGCAGGACCCAGATATCGAGGACCGCATCTGCTGCCACCACAGCCTCTCATCTCCTCAAATGCCCATCGGACCCACCTTGTAGAATGGCTGGGGGTTCACCACAGTGTGACACTTCTCAAACACACTGCCCTTCCTCAGCAGCATGGAGCAGTGGGTCTCTGCACACACCTCTGGGGACAACAGGTACAGCTGTGGGTGTCCTGTCCCCTCTCCATCCCGACAGGCTTAGGCGGCTGGGGGGGGGGGAGGCTGCAGGAGACTCACTATTGAGCTGGCTCATGGAGCAGGGGTCAGTCTCACGCTCTAGGGCAGCTGGACAGTTCCCTGCACGCCAGGAGTCCACGAAGAGTGAGGCAGTGCCTTCGTCAATGCCCATGCTGGTTGTGAATTCATCCGTTGTGTCCCCATTGAAATTGCCACAGAGCCCTGAAGGGACCGGGATGTGAGAGCAACTCAGTCTTGACCTTTGCACTCAGTCCCTCATGCCCCCTAAAGCTCTCTTCTCTCCAGCTATGCCCCTCTGATTAATCATCACTGTCCTCATGAGGCTGGGGTGTTCCCTGGATGTGGAGAGCCAGTATAAGGCACTCCTGGGTCTCTTCTGCATTTGGCTGTGCAGCGGAGACCAGTCATGCTGGCTCTGGGAGTGACCAGCAGGACGGTGGCTCACCTCTGGTCTTGCCTTTGAACTGGGGCCCGACTGCGATGTACACCTGGAAGATAGGCTGCAGTTGGACCACAAGTTCCAGTCCAAAAGTGGTAGCCATCTGGAGGTGGGTAGATGTCTGCCTGAAGATGGTGATGTTGCCTGCAAGATTTCAGGGCTAAGCAGGCTGTCCCCACTGCTAAGCTCCAAAGGCACACACAGCCACTCAGCATTCTCAGAGCCGGCTCCAGAAGGACTTACGTGTCTTGTATGGCAGCAGCTTGGTGTCCCCATTGTTGGTGATCACTTCATCCTCTGAGATCACAATTTTGTCCTGAAGGGACAGAGGAGTGTGAGTAGGGAGTAAGAGAAGCAGGAGTCGGATGCTGGGTCTGCAGGTGGTTGGCCACAGCATGTGCCTGGTTGAGGGGAGCTAGCCTTACCTTCGTGGACATGTAGATGACGGACACTAGGGAGGTCTCTGAGTGTGAGTACCCCGACTTTTCATACACAGCCATAAGGGTGCCTTCGTTGGGAAGCTGTGGGCTCTAGAGAGGTGAGTGAGTATGTAGGTCAGGCATGGACAGACTGTCCCCTTCCCCCACGGCCTTAGGGCGCCTCCTACCTGGAGAAGAGTGTAGGTGCAGGAACCGTGGAAGCGGTAGGGTCTGGCGTCGAATGTGGTGACGAAGGAGCCACCTTCTAGGGAGCAGTGACCAGGACATGGCTGCTCTGTGCATGTCCAACGGCCCATGGTACACTGGCTGCAGGTAGGCGTTGGGGGTAGTCCCCAGTGGATTGTGAGCCTCAAGGTAAATAATACCCCTTCTCAGGTTCCATACCAGCAGAACTTCTTGCCCTCTATACTTACCAGGTTTGGCAGGCTGTCCTTGTGATCTCCCCAGGGCCATAGACCACACCATTGAGCATACAGGGGCACTGACTGACTGGCACACAGGAGTGGTTTCTGGATATATCGTCAAGCAGTGTACCTAAGGGCACGAGCTCAGGTTGGATGGGTGTTCCTTAGGCAGCCTATCACTGTAGGGACTCCTCCTTAGCTGGCTGTCCAGTGAGTCCCCAGGCTCTGCCCTTCCCTCATCCATGCCAGCCCCAGGAAGTTGCCTTGGATGACTCAAAGCCCATCTCTCCTCAGTACTCTTAGATCCCTCTTCCCCACTGTTCAACTCTGCATGGAGTCCTGGGTGGACTGGAAGTTTTGGGGTAGGTAGATAAGGACCTGGGACTCAGATATAGAATATCTAGGCCAAGCTGGGTCAGAGTGAGAGTGAGTTTTGGGGGAAGCGGGTGCGGGTATACATCCTCACCATGGGGGCAGAAGCAGCCAAAGGTGCAGAAGTTGGAACAGCTGTGCTGTGGGTTGGAGCACGTCTTGACACAGACCTCACCACACTCCTGGTACACCTGGTTGGCTGGGCACTGGCTCACAGCTGCAGGGAGCAGGCATAGGGTCTGGCAAGAAGATCCTGCCCACCTTCCTGAGTTCCTACTTCATTTTCGCTTAGCTCCTCCCCTACCCGAAGCTGCTTTCCCTTTCATCCTGCCTAGTACTCACGGCAGAGTCTAGGGGTCCTCCAGTTGCGGACAGCCTGGCCGGCCATGCTGCATCGACGGGAATACTCAGACAGTGTGGCACAGCTGCAATTTTGCTGGCCTGGCTGGGCACAATCAGCCATGTCTGCCTGGCAGCTCAGCACCAGTGGTTCCTTAGGCACGTCACACCCAGGGGACACTAGGGTCAGTAGCTGGTTGCAGATCTGGGCCTGAATAAAGAGCCGCTCAAAGTCATGCGGGTTAAGCCACATCTTGTACCATACATACCCAGGGCTTGGAAGACTAGAAGTGGGGTTAGCATTGGCCTCAGAGACCCTTACACAGCCCCCCTATGTCAGCCACACTCTGTTCCTGATTTCTGGGCCACCTCACATACGTATCTGGTCTTCAGGGTAGTGGGACTGGGGATGGCCTCATGGGCACAGATCTCATTGGGGTCATCGAGCTTCTGAAGTGTGGCATACTTGTGAGGTTCTAGAAGTTTGCCTGGGGGCACAGGACAGAGATCAATCAGCACATGGAACAGACTACAGATGGGTCTGGCGCTTGGCCACCAAACTCCAACCCAGCTTACCATCCTCGCTGAGAAATTCATTGTCTGCCTTCCCGTCGAAGTTCCCACACAGTCCACACAGCTTGCCCATGTATTTCTTCTCCACCAGGACCTGCAGGGTGGCACTGTTGGTCCCTGTGGGGATGCATAAGGCTTCCCCACCCAGGCTGGAGAGCACATCAGGGTTCCAGATGTTTCCCCACCTTCCCTCCCTGCCCTCTCTGGGGGGTGGGGTTCATTTCCTGGCTGGATCCTCCTTTTCAAACGGGGAAACTGAGCTGCTATCTAAGCTCAGGTCCTCTTGGGTTGCTGGCCAGCAGTCAGTGCTGTTCTGCCAGTCTTGGCTCCTGAGACTCACTCTGAGGAGGGCCCTTCCTGAATGCTGTTTGTCAGCTCATGGCTCTCACCAGAAGATAGGCCTCTGAATCCCATGTGACAACTAACTCCAGCTCCAACTGCTTGGCCACCAGCCTCACACTCTGGCCGTATGGCGTGATCTGGAGGCCATTGCTGGTGTAGGGCAGGCTAACAACCCTGTGGGAAAGACAAGTCAGCAACTGTCCCTTCTGCCTCTGACCCTGGATGCCCTGCCCCATAGCTTACCCGATGTCCCTGACAGAGATGATTGCTTTGTTCACGGTGACTACAGAGGCCCCCAGTTCCACGATGATACGGGAGATGTTCCCATCCCTATCTCTCCGCAACTGGATGCTAAAGGTGGGCAAGGCATCCCCACATGTGGCCGTAAATACATAATTGCACATTCCTTTGAAATCATACTCATGGCGGTCAAAGGTGGAAAAGTGGCCGTCTCCCCACGTGGAGCACCAGCTCTTTTCTGGGGCTGCAAAGAAAATTAAACACTCCCAGCCCCATGTCTAATGACCAGGCAGGGTATGCCTGGGGCATCCTGGCTCAGAAGTAGGGACCCACCATAGCCCCATCCCCACATGGCAACCCATCTCTGGCCCAAGCTCTGCCTTCTGTCTAGGCCTTACAGGATTGCAGGCTATCCTCAGTGTTGGGATCTGTGGCGTCTCCAGTCCAGGCACCTGTAATGCAGGAAGCTACAACTCAGCGTCCCACCCAGGGACAGGCACAGAGGTCACAGTGCCCTGGATGAGAACTCTTGGCTGGAGCCTGAGCTGTGGCTTTCATTGCTGGATCCTTCTTGAGGAAACCCCAAATCACAGCACCCCCAAGGCCTGCATGGGTGTGGTCAAGCAACAGCATGTGTGTGTGTGTGTGTGTGTGTGTGTGTGTGTGTGTGTATGTGTTGAGTGTGGCCTCCTTTCTGCACACTGGGGCCATTGGGCCTCTGGTACTGTTGTGAACAGCGATGTGATTGCTGATGCCTCTCACCTGTCTGTGGAGAGTTCTTCAGCTTCCAGGGACTTAGGCTGGCAAAGGAGGTGGTGCCCAGACCTGCATGGACAGGACCCATGGTTAGTGTTGTGACTTATCTCAACTTGTTCCACCCCACTGTCATGCCTGGTGGGTTTGTCTACTTCTACCCAAGGCTGCCCAAGTGTGAAACCCCTATTTGTCCATCATTTGTAGCAGCACCCTGCTCTGGAACAACACAAGCTTGTCTGCAGTATGTGAACTGAGTAGGTAGCAGGCTCTAAGAGGACAAAGGGTGGATTCCAGCCCAAGCCCTGGCATCATCGCAGCTCATTTTCCGGCAGCTGTACCATCTCCTGTTTTATTGCTTCCTGGTTTGTTCATTCATTCATTTGTTCATTCGTTCATATATTTGATCTTTGGCTTGGCTGCATGAAGCTCCTGCTTGGTGCCTATCACCATGAGGTGCTGCAGGCCCACAGCACAGGGCTTGTTCCCACAAGGTCTCAGGAAGGTGGCAGTCACTCATACAGCACACACATGCTGCAGAAGTGACCTGGAGTGATGAGCACATGAAGCAAGGGAGAGTAGTCAGCTGCCACTGTGCATTCTGGAATGGGAGGGCAGCCTCTCTGAGGAAGTAACATCCAAACAGGGCCTAGGGCACTCTCTACTCTGGGGCATGATGGAGGGACACACTGTCCTGTGGAGGCCAGCAGGGAGTGGAGTAGAACTTGCAGGACATCTCTGGGGAGAAGGTGCCATGCCGGGATGGCGGTATCTTGGGCATCGATGTCTGTCAGGATCACTCCCCATTCACTGCTCAGGTTGAGGTAGGGTGCAGAGCTCAGCTGACAGAGACTCGAAATGTAGGAACAGACTCTGAGGGAACCTGCTCTGCACAGGGCTCATCTCCATGAAGCTCTTGGTAAGGATACAAGGAGGTGGGCCTGGGGTATGCTGAGAGGCGGCAACTTAGGAGAGTACAGAGGGCTGGGGCAGATTTTGGCTCTCTCCTGTGCCAGGCCACACCCAGTTGTGTCCCTGATCTGGCTGCCCAGTCTCCCTGTGGGTCTATTCCAGAAACTACCCAGAAACTACATACGCCCCCATCTGGTGCCCTGCACTTGGTTTTCTTCCCTTTTCCTCCTTGGCAGTCTCTCAGACAGCTGTATAGGCCCTTGGTCTGTGATTATCATTGCCAAATAGCATTAGTCTTGGTGACTGGTAGGCAGAGCCAGGCAGCCACAAGATGGCCGTGTGAGGGAGAGCTCCTCTGGGGCTCTCATGGGCTGTAATGTTCTGACCCCTCTGCTAGTACCTTACTGGACACATTTTCCACCCTGCTGGCCAGCTGAACAATACAGTGAGTCATCTGGAATGCAGTTCTCCACCTGGACCCTATCCTGAGCTCTCCTGAATTTGGGATGTTTGTTTCTAGCTGGGGAGCATAGCTGCTCATATACACACCCTTAAACAAAGAACAGTCCTCCTGTATTGAGAAAGAGCATCCTCCTGAACCAAGTATGTCTTCAGGAGGGCCCCACATGGAGCAGTGAGGGAGGAAGGGGATGCTTGCTTAGCCAGCCAGATCAGCCAAGAATCAACTTCACCATCAATGTGGTGACAGATGCCACAGCATCACATCATCCTGTGACAGATGCCACAGCATCACATCACCCTGTGAGCTTTGGGCAAGATGCTGTCTTCCTCACTGCTGTCAGTCACTTACTGAGTATGTGCACCTTGCACCTCTAAAATGTCACCAAGAGCAGAGACGGGCCAGCTGAGGGCTTTGTGTGGCTTGTGCTAATGAGGAAGAACTACTATGGCATTTCTCTTATATTTTTGGTTGTGAGCCTAGCCTTTAATGGCCGAGCTATCTATCCCTCCAGCCCCTACCATGGCATCCTGAGAGTTCCTTGGGACTTAGGGTCTAGCTCATGAGACCTCTCTGGCAATGCAGTGAGGATCTGGCATGAGCAGGAGTGGGACTCTCACTGAGCCCCAGCTAGTGCATGGCCACCCATCACCCTTCCTGCCTCCCTCAAGATCCAGCAGGCAATGAGAATGGGCGATCTAAAGTAAAGTCTAGGGAAGTCAGTAGTACCTGCTCCTGTCCAATGGTTCTTAAGAGTGTGGAGAATAGGCCAGGTTCCCTGAGCAACACCCTCAGTGGCTTAGATTTCTCTATCTTCCAGACAGGATGGGGACACTGGGGGGCTATCCCACTCTATGAGGTGTGAGTAGCACATGCTCAGGTCCTGGCCCTTCTTGGTCCCATACCTGGGTTCCATACCGGGACCATCTATCTGCACCTTGTGGTAACTGACTCCTCGGCCATGGCCCGTGGGGACTCTCATTCATAGGGTTTTCCTTCAGCTTGTTTGGTGGCCTTACCTGTTCCTGGGTTAATCCCACTGCCTTAGGTGTCTCCTTCCCAGCTTCTGTAGCCTCAGGTCCCATCTGGCCTGTCTGACCTCACACTCTCCTACCTCTGCCCTCCCTTTAGAGTACATAGAAGTGATACCCAAACGCTGCTGTCAGAGTGGCTCTGTCCCTTCAGCCTCCCAGCTCTCCTGAGCCTCTCCCATCAGTCCCTCCTGTGGCTTATTCCCCTATTCCTGGCTGTGGGCCCAAGGGACCTGGTTCCTGTCAGTACCCCCTCCTCTTCCTGCCAGGGATGCTGAGTAAGGGGTAAGACAGGGTCCCAGGTGACCTGGTAGGACCTGTAGGCATTGCTTTATGGTGTTCAGAGCTACCTTTGGTGTGGACAGCTGGCCCTAGTCAAGGAGGAGGCCATTGCTGGAGAGAGAAGCAGAGCAGCCTGGTGGGAGGGACAGTTATTTCAAGCCTGAGACCCACCTAGCACCTTTGCTCCCAGGCCTGGGTGCATTTGAGGTTGAGCTCTAGGAAAGGTTCCTGACAGCTGGTGATTGACATACAGAGCTATGGGCTAGGGTAGCACAGGATGTCTCCCCACATACACAGAAGGGAAAGTTGAGACCTGGAGCCAACCATACAGTTTTGTTAGTGAGTGAGGTCAGGAGTAATGGAGCCTGGATTCTGCCTGGGAACTTTGGCTTCAGCACCAAAGGAGCAACTCTATTAGGGTGTCACATGCCCCTGCCCTACATACCTCAAAGATCTGGAAGAGTGTCAGGTCTGCCCTGTTGCTACCCATTGTGTTCTTCTGTCACCAAAACTGCTGAGACTATGCAAGAGGGAGCCCCACTCCCCATTTCAGGCGAGCATGTTCCTTTGCTGGCCACCACACCCAGTTCACAGGAGGTAAACGGGTTTGAGTAGTTTGCTGGACCCCTTCTGCCTCTATTCATTAGTGTCCTCATGGCAAGAGTCAGCGAGGCGAGACGACCTGAGGACTTTGCCTTGTGCAGGGACCTGAGGAGGGCATTGGGTAGCACCCCCCCCCCCCCGGCATAGCCTGGCAGATGCCCACTCACCAGCATTGATTAGTGATCCCCTGAGGAGCAGCAGCAGCGGCAGCAGCTGCTGAACCCTGAGCATGGTGGCACTTCTGGAACCAAAAGGCGGCCACCAGCCCTGGTCTTCTACTGCTGGGTGCTTAGGCAGTCTTGCTGCTGCCTCTGCTGGGACTTGAGTGTCTAGCTCTCCGAAGCATATATAGGGGTGGTGTGCCCTTCCCCTGCCGCACCCACGTGTGCCCCATACTCCAGGCCTGTGATCACCACCGCCTGCCGGGCACAGCAGTGGCCAAACAGGATATGGGGTTTCGCTTTATCAGGACTCAAACTTCTTTGGAAAATTCTGCAGTGGCTGAGGCCCCATTATCTTTCTACTCCCAGTGGGGGGCCTGACACATGCACTCTAGGGGCCCACAAACACCTCCTGCATCTGGCTGTCCTAGGGGCCATGGTGGGTCCTGTCACAGCCCGTCCTAGCTGCCAGGTCACTGTGGACACCATCAGTCACACACCTGGGTGCCTGGGATGGGGCTGGTCCAGGCGGACATCAGAGAGTCGGGGCCTCCTCTTGATACTGTCAGGTAATCTAGTCTCCACGCTGGATCTTGGTATCCCACCAGAGATACTCATTTTTTGGGTCCACCCATCTATTGTGAGTTTTCCCTCCAGAAGACAGATCACGTGGGGAGGGGTCCTGCTGCCTGTACTGGGGGGGGGGTCCTCTGGCACTGTTTGCTGGGGTGAGGCACAAGGATCTCCTGGTGGTGGTTTTGGTCACTAAACGAGTGTTGAGTGATGCCAGCCCTAGCTGTATCCATTGTAGGCTTGGTATTGGCTCTAAGCCTACCTGAGTCTGGGTCCCCAAATGAGCCTGTATTTCATAGCCAGGCTCAGCCAGGCCCCATAGCTTAGACCCAGGTTGTCTGCACTGATCCCCCATCTCTACACTGGGAGATCTCAGATTCTGTTCTCACTTAGCTCAGCAAATCCGGCAGATCCTGTGACAAAGCAGTGGATGTTGTTTTCTGTAAATGAATCTTAGCTTTAATGGGATGTTTTGGACTTGGGTATGGCACTGTGATACAGTGTGTGTCTAGCATATTTGAGGTCCTGGGTTTGACCTTAAGAACCCCCCCAAAAAACCCAACAACCCCCTCCCGACGGAACCAGAGAGAGAGCATGATCTTTACAGAAACTCTGTGAGTTCAGTCTTGGTGGGTGGAGTGGTCATTTACTGCTGTGTGTGCTTTTGGGTAGCCTATTATTGCTCTTACTTATTCTTGCTTCCTTCCTTCCACCTTTCTTTTATTTAATAGATTTATTTGTCTTGTTTAGTGTGTGTGTATGTGCGTGTGTGCACGTGTGCACGCGTGGGAACGCCATAGTGTGTATATGTGCACATGTGCATGTAGGTGCCTGCGGAGGCCAGAAGAGGGTTGGAACCTGAGTGCATTACAGGCAGCTGTAGGCTGCTATGTGGGTATGAAAAGTAAACCTGGATTATTGATAAAAGCAACAGGTACTCTTTAAAAAAAGGTGTATTTATTTTTATTTTATGAGTATGAGTGTTTTGCCTGCATGTATGACTGTGCACCATGTGTGTTACTGGTACCACAAAGGCCAGAAGAGGACATCAGCTTTTCTAGGACTGGAGTTATATATAGTTGTGGGCTGCCATGTGAGTGCTAGGATTCGAACCCTGTTCCTCTGGAAGAGCAACCAGTACTCTTTTTGTTTGTTTGTTTTTGTTTTTCGAAACAGGGTTTCTCTGTATTGTTTTGGAGGCTGTCCTGGAATTCACTCTGTAGACCAGGCTGGCCTCGAACTCACAGAGATCCGCCTGCCTCTGCCTCCCGAGTGCTGGGATTAAAGGTGTGTGCCACTAACGCTCGGCGCAATCAGTACTCTTAACCACTGAGATGACAGTTAGTTTAGTAATGGCAACAAGTGCTCTTAATGACTGAGCTCTCTCCAGCCTCTCAGTGACTTCTTTCCTTTTTAGTTTTCGTATTTTGATTTATGTGTGTGGTATTTGTGTGTAGGTATGTGCATGTGGGTACAGTTCCAGCAAAGATTAGAGGGTCAGAGTTGGAGCTGGAGTTTAAGTTATAGGCAGTGTCGAGCTGTGATTTTAACCACAGAGCCATGTCTCCAGCCCTCTTAGTGGTCTCTTAGCATTCAACAGCACCCACTCAGGTGAGAAACTGAGGAACACAGTGACATTTTCACCCAAAGTGACATGAAGGAGCTTGGTTAGCTCTGGCTGCAGCCTTGCAGCTGGACTTGGGCAGGTAAGGAAGGGACTCAGGGCAGCCACATAGAAGGGGCTTATGACCTTGTATGGCTAGGAACCCTATGTCTGCTTGGCTGGCTGGATGTGCTTGTCTAACAATCTGCAGGGGCGTGTGCATGTGCTCACGTATGAGTGGCTCAGAGCTGTACCTTCCAGGATCTTCTGGGCTGTTTTGGGCTGCGTGCACCTGTGGCAAGAAGGTAGCTCTAGGGAGTGGCATTGCCCTTTCCCGGGTCAATGACTCCATCCTGGTGAGGAGGGGCCACAGGAGGGCATCAGGGCCCACCTTCTACAGCACACTTACTTGATTGGCAGGAAATCACGGCTCAATAGTGTTTTTGTCCTTTGACTTGGGAGAGCGAATGCACTGAGTAAACAGCTCTGACAGCCGAGATAGTTCTGACGGGGAGATAAGTGTGTGCGCCATTGTTCCCTCAGCAATCTCGGTGATAAGTCCCAGATCCCTCTGGTGGGCCAGGAAAGCGGAACCTACAGCTGGACAAGTGCGTGATTGTCCTCTCTCACGTCCAGCTCAGACCCTTGCCCTCCCCGTCCATCAGTGTGGCCTCCCAGGGCCTAGGCTTGGCTATGAAGTGTGGCCCAAGCCAACTCTGGTCCTAGAGCAGTGGCTCTCAACCTTACTAATGCTGTGGCCCTTTAATACATTTCCCTTTAATACGTTGTGGTGACTCCCAACCATGACATTATTTTCATTGCTACTTTATAACTGTAATTTTGCTACTGTTAATGAATTGTAATGTAATATCTGTGTTTTCTGATGGTCTTAGGCGACCCCTTGAAAGGGCTGTTCAACCCCAAAATGGGTCATGACCCACAAATTGAGAACCACTGGTCTAGACAGAGGTGGCCCAGGATCATGCACAGCTGACAGCAGGCCCCTATGTGGGCTCTTGTCCATAGCAGGTGCTTCCAGCATCCTTCATTATGCTTGGGTCCCAACCACTTTGGCTTGACAGTGATATACCATCAGTTGAAAAGGCTTTAGGGACAGTTTGTAAAAGATGTCTGTACCAGAAGTAGGAATTCTCCCCTGTGGCTGAGTCATGCTCTAGAAGGGTGAGCCAGGACTGATCGACATGGACTCTGGGTGGAGGATGTAGCTCGGAATTCCCAAGGACTGGGTATAAAGTGTGGGGCCATGGGCCTGATGTCTCTTGAAGGTTGAGGGTGGGCTGTCTGGACCTTGGTGGTCAGTGAGCTTCAGAGCTGACTCGTGGGCACCTGTTGTTGGGAAGAGGGTGAGAACTGGTGGCCCTGGACACAGATGGCTGAGGGACTTCAAACCTTGGAGCAGGAGCCATGCCTGCCATGTCCTGTGTGTAGTAGGTGGCAGTTAGCTTTGGACTCTGACTCAGTGGGTCTGAGCTTCATTAACTGTGCCAGAAATTAACTCGTCTCCCTCTGTCCCCAAGTATCAGTGGTGGCCCCCTCCAATTCTCATATGCCCTGGATGCCTTGGGAGCACACAGGAAATAAAGTATTCCCGGTCCATCTCCTTCAGGGACCCACAACCCTTGCCCTAGGACCCTGCTGGCTGGTACTCCTACGTGGAGCCATGCTGTGCTATCCCCTACCACCTCTACAGAAGGTCCAAGTTCCTATTAACTCCTGGTCTCTGGTCCCCTACTCTAGCCAACTCTTGTTTCTCTGGCTCTTGTAGAATTAACCCTGAGCTGCTGGAGTCAATTCTGATGAAGATAACAATAAAGCCAGCAGATCTTGTGCTATGACCCACAGCTAAAGGGTATGTATGCCCTCCATAGCCCCTTCAGTGATGGTTCCTCAGTTTCTACCTAGCAGAGTGCCTAGATCTTACCACTTGCTTTGGCTTTGGCTGTAGGCCTGGGATTTGGTTGTGATCAGCCCCTCCCTCTGGATATGGGCCCTGGCCTCTGGTCTTGGCAGAGAAGTGACTACCTCAGGTAGGTCCTACCTGGGAGCAGTGGAACTATGTTCTGAAATGGGCGGAGAGCTCACTACCATGCTCCCCTGGCTGGGGCCCTTTAGTCCTTTTTGTTCATAGATGTCTTGTATTGGTGCCTAATGGAGGGACTGCAGATAATAGGGGTGGCATCAGAAAGGGGTCCTAGGTGGACCTGGATTCCCAGGGAGCCAATAGGTCTTAGCCTGGGGTGAGGGTGGCTGCGCTGGCACCTACCTTATTTCCTCTTGAGATCCGGTCTCATGTTGCTCAGACTGGTGTTGACTTGCTATGTAGCTAAGGATGACCTGAACTTCTTCTCCCCCTTCCTCCTCCTCCTCCCAGAGACTGAGATGACTAGTGTGAGCCGCCAAACTTGATTTGTAAGGTGCTGAGGATCAAATTCAAGGCTTTGTATATGTCGGTGAACTACACCCCTGTCTGAGATACCACAATTCTACAAGGCTTCTGGCTCGGCTGACTCTTGGGTCAGGGTAGACACTACACCTCCGAGTCCCATGCCTCCTCATACCCCTCATTCTACATGCAGGAGGGAGGGGAGCCCTGGGTCTCACTGACCACCAGACGGAAGCCCACGATGTGACTGTCCCCACTGCTTAGATGCCCTATCAAGCCTTCCAGGACCCTGATCCTGAAGTCCTGCTCACAGCAGGTATTCCAAAATCACACAGGTACCTCCAAGTCCTGGGAAGACTTCAGAATCCCTACAGATGGGCTACGTCCAACCCTGGCTAATGTTGACGCAGTTCCGGCTTCCAGGCTACATGTAAGGGTGCCCTCAACCTGGCAAGCAGGAAGCAGCACAGGATGGCCAGGGAGTCCTGCCCAAGATGCCCTGCCCCCTACAGTGTTG